ATCTTTGTGTGTGCGTGCTGGATGACACAGATGGCTATGGAGCAAGGATGTGATAAACACGCAGGGCAGGGGGATCTCCGTCCAGGAGTGGGCTCCATGTTTTAGTGGTGAAGTCATTGGGAAAAAGTTTGGTGGAGGAACAGAGAGTCACCCACAGGCAAACACAGACAGATATTACCTTATGACATTTGCATGTGTATTACAATTTTCCTTACTATAAATAGAAACACGCGTCCCCTCCCCTAATTCCATTATTTAATTGACTCAAGAAGTTAATCAAATGGAATCTTTTACAATTTATTCAACCATGAGTTGATAAAAAGAAGTTCAGATTCAAAGTCGGAGCATCAGGACCTCAGGTCAGAGCACCAACACTGAGCTTATCTGTCTTGCGTTGTGGGTGCTGTTATGTTAGGTGTGAACTATGGCCCTGCGGAGCATTGGGTAACACTAGTGATTGCCTAAGCCAGTTGTTGTGCTGATGTCGTAACCCGTTGGACCTGGCCAGGGTTTGGCTGTCATGTGAGCCCTTGTTCTCTATCTTCCCCTGCCCAGGACGTCGTGGCATGTGTGTGTGTGTGTGTTAGCGAGAGATCTCGTGTGTTTGTGTGTGTGTATGCATGCCTGCGGGATTTCATTACCATAAAGAACAAGAATTCAGTAATTTTATGAAAGTTTCTCATCTGCTACTGAAGGTGGCGGCCCTCAAAAAAGGGCAGACATGTCAAAGGTTACTCTGACTCGGGGCCTGTGGAATTTAGCTGCCACAGGCTTCATGAACAGCAACAGGAAATGATACTTCATTAAAAAAAATATAAGCCAAGACGTTGCTCACAAATGAACCCTTCGGAGACGACAGGAAGCTGAGGGATGTGGGGTTTTCCCCCCTTATTTCTTTGTTTTATCAGATACAGTCTCCTAATCTTCCTTTCATGCTTATCGATTCCATTCCATGGGTTTGTTTAATGAGCCCAGTTTCAGACACGATTTGTAAAAGACGGAGATTAAAATTGATAAATGATTTATTAACACTAATAATTACAAATTGTTGGCCCTTTTTAAAAATTCTGTAAATAAAGCCATTAATAGCTGTTTTGCCCACTGCATGAAAACACTGTATGTTTTATTTAAATCAGAAAAATGATGGAGTATTTATACTGGGCATATAATTTTTCACTCACCTGTAATTCCTAGATTTTCTTCTGTTTCAAAACACTTTGAACCTGTTTTATTTCGATATATGAGTCACTCAGATCCATTTTTGTGTATTTGTGTGTGTTTGTGTGCGTTTGTGTGAGGGGATCAGTCCTCTTCAAATCCTGGGATATTTGGGCACAATGTGCCCTAACCTGTTTCCCTGATTAGGTCTTTTAAATGGACTTGAACTGGAAGGTCCACTCAGAGGCAGCACAGCTGAAGTTCACAAAAACACACCCATAGAAAATGTCTAACACTTTTTCCTTTTGTTCACGTGGTTATGCTGCACAGATTATCAATGAGACCGCACTGAGGGGAGAAATGGAAAAAGTGATAGCTGTGGTGTTGTTTTTGGGAAGGTGGCATGGTTGTGGATTGGCCTCTATCTCTTCATGTTCGGGGATATTGACCAAATTGTGCAGAGCTAATCCTACTGTCTGGTTGGATGATGTGGCACTGCTGCATTGATAAAGGAAAAATTAGGTAAACTTATATTAAACAGTCGCAAACAAACACTGGAAGGTACATTTGTTTTTTATTTTAAAAATTTCAAGTCCAAACAAATCCAAACTGTTTTCTACCAACATCACAAAAAATCACATTCAAGTAGTACCTTCTCCCAGCATGGCTTTTTGATCAAAAACCTCCTTAGTTTCTGGTCATTTTAATATATGAGTAAATTGAAGTATCCTTTTTCCAGCTTTTTAAAACATTTTGTTTGTTGACTTCTATAAAGTGAATAAGAAATTTAAAGAATCAGTTTTTCAATAAAACGGAAATAAAAAAGCCCCAATTTGTTCTTTGTTTTTAAGAAACCAGCCTGCTTGGTATGTATTGTTAATAAATATAAAACCACCTCTATTTGTAGAATTATGTGGAATTGCATTAAAAATATATAATGTTGAAAAAATTCCTTTCTACGTTATGCACAACTTCTGGAAGTAATTTAATCAATTACAGCACGATTGTTAAAGCTTGATTGGATCCACACATGCAGGGTTTTACGGTTTTAACACATTTGAGGACTTTTCCTTGTTGTTATTATGATGCCTTTTCACCATACTATATTTTTCCCTTTGACAATAAAATGAGCAAGATACTCACACGTCCTTTTTTTATTTTTCATAGTATAGGCATCATTTCAATTTAAATTTTTTAATGGTAACACTCAAAAATCATTATGTGGAAAACTATGTGTTATATTATCATTTTTATTGATATTTTATGTTTATCATGATAAAATTCCCTCTGAATTTATCTTGATGTAAGTTACGAAAAATTATGAGCTAAACTAATACAGAAAATCAGTCGATCATAGTGATCACAATTTATTTTTCTCTATTGTAGAAAATGACCTTAATTTTGTGTAACACGTTTAAATATTTAGCACATTTAAGTGCTAATCTGGGACTAGTGCAACTTTATTACCCTTTGAAAAACTATGCCCACTACAGAATTTTTTTTCTTTAAACGACAATTCTCAGGTGATCTAAATCATTTACAATAGAGTTTTGAGAAGAACATTTTGTCTTTTTGTAAAGTCCTGCACTCCTCTCATTGATCTATTTCCCTGATTTCTGAGGCCACTGAGTTTGAACTTCGCCTTTCTTAGGAAAACAAAAATAGAGGCGAAAGCTTTTGTTTGACTTTACTTGAAGGGTTTTTATGGACCGGTTGTTAGGTTGTAATGAGTGCCATCTCACCCCAACTCCCAGCTTTCAGTAAATGTTTCCCTCCCTCACTCAGCTAAAAAAAAAATACATTTTAAAGCTTTTTACTGAACATTAAAAACTCTTAGAGCATTTATTATAGATTAAATGTATTTAATGCATGCATAGACGACAAAATTAATTCACACTCAACTCCATCTGAGAAAGTCATCTTAATCTGAGGCTGGGAAAGAGCTAATCTTCTGAACTCCTTTCACACACGTAGAAAGACGAGCTGTACAGGTACTCACGGGTCAGTTCTGAACACAATTACATTGGAAATTCCTAAATCCAACCATTTCTTAACTACATCCGCAGGAAGGTGAAAATATAGTCCCCAAAAAACACAGAATCATCAGATATGTAAAGAAGAGACCAACAGGCACTCCTGACTGTGTGGCAATAATTTCTGTTTTAGGCTTTGAGCTTCTTTGTGGATTTGCAGAGCCTCATGACTCAGAGTTGCTCATCGTGTAGGAGATGATTCGCCCGCCATTTCTGAGAGCTGTTCCTCTCGCTCTTTGTTCCCTTCTTGTGTTCTGAGCGAATATATTTCTGCTGTTTTCTTCAGAATTTGCTTATTCTGAAGAGGCATATTGAGCTTGTTATTCATATTGGATTGTTTAGATTTACTTAAGGAAGTTTCTTTGTGTTACGATGTGAGGAATTTGCTGAAGGGGGGGGATGGGAATATGATAGCCTTTTTTTCCCTCCAAAAAAAAAAAACTAGTTTGATTATTTCCTAACTAATTGGGACTAATCGAAATCTAGGATATAATATAAAGTGTTACTCTTCCTGATTGCGTTATACTCATTGCCTGTTGTAAAGTTAATAATTTCCTAAAGACTTCCTTGTAGCAAATGCAATCATTTAACAAGATGTATTTTTTCTCACCATAACATAGGTGTGTGTAGACGTATCTCTGTGTGCAGAGGTGGGGAGGGACGGAAATGACTTGCCTCCTTCAGAGAAAGTTATCAGCCATAAACTCAACCGTATGTGACACGGCTGCCCACGCAAACCTGCCCTAAAATCTTTTATGTGCCTCCGAGCTTTGAAGATGCCTACCCAACATGAACAAAAGATGCAAAGGTGGAACAAAAGGAAAGCGTTGAAATGTAACCTCGGGGGAACAGTGCAGCAACAAAAGAAAATTAGTGAAGGTCTTTAGTATGTATTTGTTTTGCGATTAATCACTAACTCCAGCCTAGAGATGGGCCACTGATTTGCGATTCTAGGGCATTCTCTGCAGTCTCACGTGCCCCCCCCTTCTGTGTGTGTGAGTGTGTGTGTGTGTGTTGGAGGGCTGGGAAGGGGGGCTCAGTAGTATGCTTGTAGTTGGTGGCTAAATCTTGTAAAGGCTTTCCTAATATGGGCCGTCTTAAAGCAGTGCCCTCCCCCTGTGGGCCATCCCTCAGGTCTCAGCCAGTGATGACACGGCTAGGGTACGACTCACTTCCTCATTAATTGGCTGAAACCAGTTCTTACAGGAACCGCCAGTGATAAATGTGAGAGTTCTGAGAAGTCATTCATTTCTCCTCGCTGCAGCGGCAGAGGAGGCACTGCAGGGGAGTTGAACGGGTTCACCGATGTGTGTGTGTGAGTGAGCGGGAGAGGCAGCCGAGCTTGTGTGTCTGAGCGGAGAGGAGAGAGCGGAGCAGAACATGAGCCACTGCTGCCGCCACAGCTGCCGGATGAGGACCGGCCAACTTTATTTATTCCCTTTTGAATTTGGTTCCTTTTTCAGTGTCACTATTTTTCTGTAGCTCTGTTACAATTTTTAGTCTGCTTGTGTGTGTGTTTGTGTGTTTACTTGTGTGTTTTTTTGTGGGGATGAGCAACGAAGGGATCGCACACGCTGCTCTCTCCGTCTTTCTCTCTTCTCGGGGAGAGGAAGCAGGCCGACACTGTACAGGAGATAGGACAGCATGCCTCCCTTTGTTGCTGCCCTTGGGCTGGTGAGTAACAATAATGTGACGTGATTTGTGCCCCACCACCCCACCCCCTCCCCTTCTCCCCCCTTCCCCTCCTCTCTCTCTCTCTCCCTGTCCCCCCCCACCGACCCACCCGCCCTCCTCGGTCGGTGGAAACAGAGCAGTTCCACTGCTGGGTGCGGCACTGCAGAAGCCCTTCAGGGAGTACTTGGAGGCCCAGAAGGCCAAGCTGCACCATGTCGCCGGAGAGGGGATCCCAACTGTAAGTACAGGGGCCTCGGCCCCCACATCACAGCTTCTATTCATTCACGTATGCGCGCCAAGAAAAGAATGCAGCCCCCTTACTTTAGCCTCTTTTTTTATACTTTTCCCTCCACTTTTTAAAAAATAAATTATTTCTCCCTCCTCTCTGTTTGATTTATCCTTCACTTGTGCTTTTTTTTAACCTGTTTTCTGTCATCTGCAATCTTTTATTTTTTTTATTTTTACCTGTTCTACCTGTGCCACTTGCTCACTTACATAATTTTTTTAACTACTCATGTGTAAACCTTGAATTTTTTTAATGTTTCTTGGATTCAAGCTCCGTGTGAGGACGGATGGGATGTTTTTGTAGATCTTACCAAAACCTGGAGTGATACAGTAAATTACAGAGGCTTGTTTAGGGCCAGAATGACAGAGTAGGTTAGCACTGCCTTGGGCGGGCTTGAGGGGAGGGAGGAGGAAGGGGGAAGGAGCAGAGGGGCCAGTGTGGGGTATGGCTTGTATTGAACTGTACTACTGTAGCGCGGGGCGTGCTGACTCATGCTCCATTTTACCAATTGGAAGAGTATGTGTGAGTGTGGTCACTCCCCCATGTGTTACACACACACTTGCACTCACTGCCCCGCCTGAACCCAGCGCTAACTGTAGACCGGGCCCCCCCCCCCCCCCCCCCCCCCCCCCTGCCAGTGACAATCCATCAAAACCCCCCTGTCTAGAACAAAAAGAGCCAGTTGTAGCTGAAGCCTATTTCTTTTTCAAAGCTTTTTTCCCCTCGTCTGACTCTCACTCCCTCTTTTTTCCCTCTTTCGCTCAGTGATTCATTGAGAACGATTTTTCTTTTATACGCACGGAGAAGAGAAGAAAAAAGGGATAGACTTTGAGTTGCACAAGGACAGATTAAGGCATTTTCTAGAACAATGTTCCTTTTTTCTTGTAACTTGAGCCTCTTGCAGTTACTGGAGAGAAGCGAGGCAATTTAACTTGGTGGAGGCAGGCTGCAGGCTGGGGTCAGTGGGGGCGTTAGGAGGGAGGACGGTGGGGGCTGCCGCGTGTTTTATTACCCCTGATCTCTATCTGTCCTGCACATGGAGCTGGATCCCCACCTAGCCTAAAGCATCAGGAGTAGAGGGGAGAGCAGGGCGTGGGGGTGAAGGGGGTGGCCCTCAGCTTTACTGACTGAGCTCTTCTCTCTTTCTCTGTGCTCTCTCTCTGTGGTTCCTGGCAGGAGGAGAGCTGGCTTTCGTGGCTCTTCGAGAAGGTTGTGGTCATCATGGTATGCTTCTTTGTCTGTTCCATTGTCAACTCCATGGCGCAGAGCTACGCCAAGCGCAAGCAGCAAGAGAAGCACTCTGAGAGCAAGACAGAGTGAAGGCCAGGAAGAGATCCCCATCAACTTCAGGAGCCCCCTCGTTCCTCCCAGCTTCCTCCACTCCTTCGCTCGTATCTGCTCTCGCTCGTGGCCCATCCCTCGCTCTCGTCCTTTGCTCCTGTAGCGGCATGCTTTTATTGAACTTGGACTTCCATTTAGTTGTTTGCGAAGGCTTTAAATCCGGTAGTGATTTTTTTTTCCGGTAAGGTAGGTGCTTGCTGAGATGCGCGTGACTGTGTGCGAGCTGCTCACTTGTGTAAGTGTCCATGTGGGTGCTTTTAGCTGTTCCTGAGCATGTGGGGAGAAGCTGCTGGCTTTAAGTCTCCTGTACAGCCTTAAGCAGTACAGTGTGATCCAAAAGAAGAACTTAACATTATTTCACATCCATCAAAAGACTTGAATTCACTTTATCTGAGTAAGTTATAATTGTTTTTTATCATGTTGTGTTTTGAAAAACAACACAAAATGATTCGATTATATCTGTATTTATTATTTATTTGTTAATGATAGGATAAGTCTTCTTTAACTGTATTTAAACAGTTTTGGTTAGATAAGACATGAAACATTTTCTGCGGAGCCACCTCATGTCGACTCATTGTACTATAGTGAGTCAGTTGTAGTAGGATGTTAATGTATTTCAGGATGTAAACGGCTCCTTAAGATGACCACTTTAAGAATCTTTTGTGTGAGCGGTAAAGCTCATCGTAGTACTACTGAATGAAAAATGATAAATTGGCCATGATCATCCTGCTGGTTCCTTTGTCTGCTCTTATTGTTCTGCTTCCAGGAAGAGAGCGCATGAGTCAGCCCCGGGCTACTTTACCAGATGCAGTCACAAATATTAAATCAGATCTACAACTGTGTGAGACGGAGAGGGAGACTGTGGATCGTGTTAGAGTGGCGGTCGTATTTGTTGCTCTCCCTTTTATCTTTTACGGATTAAAGCAGATTGTGCTCCGCTAACAGACTACTGCCTGGCAGTCCTAGTGGGCTAGGATAGTAGCTGTCGTCTTTACCTCAGTGTGACGATTAGTGTTCTTTGTTTTCACTCGTCAGCGAGCATTTTAAAAAGCCCCTTTTCCCCGGACGAGGACAGGAAGCTCATTTATGACACCACATGAGTGGATCTAAAAGGAAAACGGCATTTTATCTGATAATATGCCTTTTAGCTGGTTTGGTGCTCGTTTGATAACATCAGCTATCTCTCGGTATATTGGCTACCTTCCTTTTTTCCCTGTAATTGCCGGTGAAATGTGCTATTTTCTTCCCCCTTGCTGTACCGCTGCTGTGCTACGCTGGACTGAGAGCAGTGGGCGCTAGAGCAGGCACAGGCAGCAGGGGGAAAAAAAACCCTCAAGCGCACGTCTGTGCCGTTACCTCAGCTGAACCTTCAAATGAACTCGTTGCACTCCCCCAGTCACGGAGCCAGGAGACGAATCACTCGAGTAGATTCAAAACAGAGGGGTACTGTTGAGCGAAGTGAACCCTGTGCTCTGCACCAGCTCTAGTCTAGAACATTCACATCTCCTCTTTTTCTCCTCTCACGGTAAGTGGGATCAGGATTGTCTTTTTTTTATTGTTTGTTTCTTCCATTGTTACTGTATCCGTTCATGCATATGTCTCAGGCATGTCCGTCACTCTCTCGGCCTGTCAGATAGCTTATCAGACTGGTGTTGGCTGTTAAGATTGCAAGGCGACAACAGTCTGTAGGCTGTCTGACATTTCGGGCTCTTTCATCTGACCAGCATCCTGTTTTGTCCTCCTTCTGTTAGTGTCATTGTTTCAGTTAGCATCAGTTCCCATTCAGAGGTGTGTGAAGCGATGTCACTTCCCTTTATCCCAACCGCTTGTGAAACGTTGGAGACGTGGGTCTATTGTTTATTTCCTCTGTGCTGACGTCTGTGAGGGTTTTTATGTGGCTTATTGTGAGGAACTGTATTTTCGCATGTTAGCAAATGCAGATGTAGTGATGTCAGTGGTGTACTTCTGAGTGTGCGAGAGTCTGCTCTGTCCTCTCAAATTTCCAGAGAATCCAAACGGTACACACCTTATTGCAACACTTCACATTGTGACACCCAGTGCTAGGTATAGTACACAAAGTGCTCAGCCAGCTCCCACCTTCCGTTTTACACTTCCCTCTTCTGTTGTTTTCTGAACTTTCTTACATTGCTCAATACCCAGTCTTTTGTACGAGGCTGCACTTTATTGGAAAAACTCTTTTGAGAGGGTGCTTTTAAGGGCCACAAATAGGTAATTATAGAAAGCTGAAAATCATCACTTGACCGGTGGCCACAAAGCCTCAGTTTTATTTAAAATCCTTCTTTTTCTAGACTACAGCAAAGAGGGTCAAATTTTTTTTCTTGATCATTAAAGTAAAATCACTGGATAACACTGGAATGGCCTGCTGGCATAAGGAATGTTTTTCTTGGCAGTTTCAGGATGTCCTGTTCCATAAGGGAGCCCCCTTTTGGCACGACTGTCTGAGTGTGTGTGTGTGTGTGTGTGTGTGTGTGTGTGTGTGCATGTTTGTCTAGAAATTCTGTTTATATTTCCCTGTGTGAGGGCCTGTATTTCTTCTTTGACAGATGTCTGTACCGTGGATGTTTTAAAGGTGAATGCTTTGTAATGTTTTTCTCTGATTTCATCATCAATAAAGTCTGTTAAAAGGAGGATTTTGTGTTCTGTTCATTATGTGATGAGTCTTTACAACACTGGGTCCATGCTGACCCCTGAGCCTCCAAAGAATCTCACATGTCAGCCAAGAAAGAGGGAAAAGGAGGAGAGCCAGTCCATCACAACTCCTATTTCAGCGTCTAATGTTTCACATCCAAACAGTTATCACATTACTGATTTGCCCTCTGCAGAGTGACATCATCTCCATTTCAGACGAAGAACTTAAGACTAGGCTGTATGTTCTGTTATATAGCTGCAATTAAAGCTGTATTTGAAGTTGTGAAATTGATTAGATTTAGACTATTTTCAGATTAATTAAGTTGTTCGCAACAGATTTACACACCTGAAACCACACGCACAATTTGGGCGTTAGATTATTGCAAATTTTGTGTGAACTTTCTATATAGATTTTTTTCATTATTCGGGGCGGAAGTCAGATCGCTTTAATTTGATTTTAAAAGAAAAAGAAGCAGGTCTCTGCCGGTGCCCGGGAACACAGTGTGATTTTGTGTCCTGAGGTTTGATGTGTGACCTGTGCTGAGTCCTGCCCTGTTCCCAGAGCAGCCACACCCACAGCACCAAGAAGACGACTATTTCCACCCTCCCCATCTCGCCTTGCCCCAGGGCTCCGACTGAAAACCCAGCATGCAAATCCTGCCTGTCTAAACAGGTCGGTGAGAGGATATAATGACTCTGCTTTTGTCCTTCTACCCGCGTCCGCTCTGATCTCTTCATACGCTGTACGCACACAACAGTTAAATCCAGAGGCGCTGGTTTAATTTCTGGCACGATGATCATCCCACCCACTCAACACCTCCCTCAATGTCTCTCACTCCAGTTTTTTTCCCCTCCTTGTCAGCAGGCTAACCACCAGGGGATGCTGAAATATTACTGACTTCATCCACCACCCACCCACAAGCCCACTCTGCATTTGGTTATCCACTTAGTTCCTTTCACACTCTGTCTCATTAAATTATGCTGACCATGTGGCTTTCTTTTCGCTCCTTTTTAAAAATTTCAAATCATATTAAGGTCCTTTTTTATTGAGAAGCAGCCATATGACCACAGTGGAATGAACAGACAGATCAGACATACAATGATCCTCACTAATTTCATAATGTTAAAAAAAGCACTTAGCTAAAACAAATAAATATGATCAGTTTTCAGATTTCCTAACCCAGAGTTTAAGAATTTGATGTTGCATTGTAGTGAGTTCCAGTGTGCAACTTACATGTGAAAAGCCAAGCTTTTTATGCTCAACGTATACACAGAAAATGTATTTTCTTCAATTCAATTGTGTTTCAAGTTCACCAATTTACTAAAGAGAAAAAACAAAAATTAAAATAAAAAACAAAGGGTTTTTATAGAATGTAAAATTGAATCAGACTCCAGGTCTAACAAAGATTCCTTAGCAATCATAACATCCCGAAGCCCGTAAAAGTAAATCAGTTAGTAGATAGAAATTTTTTAAACATTTGAATGTGTATCTTCCCTGAAGCAATTTAAAGAGATATTTCAGGTTTAAGCATAAACCTGTCCTTCACCGACAGTAAAGATGAACTTTTCCGCATTCAGAAGTGGCCGACGTGAGGCTTGGGGAATATCTGCTGCTCTGTCATACACATGTTTGTGTGCAGTCGTACATCATAACTGCGGTTAGTGCAAAGCCCTGATTCCAAAAGCCTTTGTTTCCTTTATTGTGGCTTTGGCATGTTGAGATCAAACAGGCTTATCAGCAGCTTCATACTCCTCTCATACTCACTCCTTTGGAGAGGGGGTTATTGGGCTCATTTGAATTAGATCACATGGTCCCTTCAGAGCGATCGAGTGTCTACTAAACTTATCATCATGCACTTAGATGGCCTCTGGTGTTGGTGATTTACAATTATTTCAACACAGCCGTTCAAACTCTGACTGTGCTCGGGCTGAGTTTGACAGGATAAAACGTATCATCCTGTGTGGAGCTGAGCTAAGTTATGATGTGTGGGCATTTCAGCACAGCATAGTTTTCAGTAGCCTCTTCTCTTCCTGCCCACACACTGCCAACATGGCAGACACTTTAATGACTGATGCCAGGTGGCAATACTGGTGAAGAAACACAAACAGACTTTGCTCTTTTGGCTCAGTTTTTCTCAGACATTCAACGGTCCAGCAGCACGGCATTCGTTGTCCTCTCGAAGACCAGTGAAGACTTTGTGAGCTGTTAAATTTTATTGAAAGTTTAAAAACAATTTAATTTAGTTTTTGGTTGTACTTCTATTCTGCTTTTGGTTTTTCAAAATTACTAAAACTATGCATTCTATTATTCTTAGATGACAAATGTGTGAGTCTATCTTTTGTCCACCACTATGTAAAAAATCTTTATGAAGTTTTAGGTTGCTTTAACAAATGCAGTCTTCTCTATATGCCATGAAAAGGCCAAGTAAAACTGACCTTGAATAAGTGCTTGTCATGCTACCTCATTTCTTTCAAACTTCTGTGTGACGTGAGAAATGTTGTTCAGGTGTGTCGAACATTCACAGGGAACCTGACTGTGAGTGGGTGGGACAACAGGGCAGAGCTCGCCTGAGAGAAGAGTGGGCGTAAAAAAAAAAAAAAAGAAATTCAAAAAAAGAAATTCTCCTCTTACTCAGGTAGACATGCTGTCAGAAATAACAAACCCCTTTGAGGTGAGAATCACTGAGTCAACCTTTGGAATGCTTTAGACATCAGTATAGGTTTCTGTGTGCTTACATGACGCCGTCTGAGAAATATTCCTCAGGAATGTTTCACACTGACTTCCATCGATGCCAAAGCTGTTGCCGTGTGCTCTCCCCTTTCCACTGCAAATGAAGCAACACCAGAATGAAATGCATAAACTGCCAACAGTCCCACTGAGAGCAAATGTAAAAACACCTGTGAGCACTGTGTGTCCTGAACAGTGGGGGAAAACCCTGTTTTGTCATTTTTAGCATGGCAATGCAGTCAATAACAGCTGAGAGTCCTCCTAATATCAGCCACCTTACGGCGCTGCTAGTGTCCACGAGGTTTATACTTGTTATAAAGGTATATATTCATTAGTTGACCAATGAATTTATCAAACTTTTACTGGACCTGACTGAAGAACAAGCTCCATGCTTACAGCTCTTCTCTGCGGACACTAAAGAGGTACCCAAGCCAGTCTAAAGGCATGAGCTCTGTCTGACCTGATGCCGCCTTTATGGTCAGAATTTCAAGGAGGATGTTATGTCTGTGAAATTTCTCTAAAGGCATCAGAATACTTCGCCCTCATTTGGGACACTGGGGCCTCATCCCGGAGCCACGCCTTCAGGGGAGGTATGCAAGTGCCAGGTGGTTGGGTCTTTTTCCCACTGAGTCCAGTCAGGCACAACCTGACTGAGCGACATAAATGCCTTCCAGGGGCCACTGAAGGAGGCCCTGTAAGGCTGCATTGTCAGTAGGGTTGTAGTCTGAGGTGGAGGCCTTGGTGGTCCGAGTATTCGATATACAAGAATCCAGTATTGCATGCTGGATAGGATAAATCCATCTGACTCCTGGAATGACACCTACACCATATGTATCCTCTTGTTTTTGGAGGCTGTATGTCTGTGACTGGCATGCTTTGAACTCAAAGCACACAGCGATTACTGTGGCACATGAGACTGAGAGGGTAATCCAGTCAGCTCAGTGAGAGGAGGTGATGGTGGAAACAAACAACTGTGGAATGCTTGGTGTAATTACTCAGATAGACATTGTCCTTGTTGTCATTCCCTTGGAACAAAAGATAAATAACCATTTTCTGGACCGAAAACAGATAGAAATCAGTCAGGCGTGCCATTGTGCCTGTATACTATCATCTAAACCAAATGACATTACTGTTGGAAACAAAAAGCTTTCAACCTTCATGGCACTGCTAATTTTAGTTTTGTTGTCCACATACTATGCATGAGCCCTGTTTATCACATGTGGTGCGGTTATACGCAGCGTGCCCATCAACATGCTGCAAACGACCACAAAGAACAAACAAAACCAGACACATTTATGCCAGACTGCGCAGCAAACATGCTGGGCTCAGCTAGCTCATCTGGAATGACTTTTCTGCAAGGCCACTCCACCAAAGGACTTTTACTACTTTAACAACCTCACCTGACCCTCCTGATGCTTTGTACCCCCTGTTTTTATGTTACAGCTTTGATCTTGAGCAGCATCTATTATTATCACTATGCATAGCCTTTACTTCTCCAGCCAGTGAAACATTCTTTCAAAACCCAAAAATGCAGATTCAAAAGGGTCATAACAGTCCAACAAAATGAAAAGGATTTTTCTTTCATTTAAACAAATCTACCAGGAAGATCTCAAATATCACGTAATTTATGTCCTCATTCATGTTGTGTTTATTGAAAATGTGAATAAACTGTGGAAATGAACTTATTTTGCTCGTTCATATGGGCATGATGACAGAGAATACCTGAAAACTGGAGGGAACAATTGATTTTAGACATGTTTTCCTTGAGTTTCTCTTTTGTTAATGTAATTAATTACAGACCCTCAAGTACAATTACTATTAGTAATAATGTAATCAATGTAATCTAAAACATTTCAACTGGGAATAAATAAGTCATCCCTATTTCTTATAAAATAGAAGTTAGACTTTTAATATCTGAATTAAAAAGTCAGTCTTCACTCTGTGTAACAGCTATAGGTAATAAAACAATGTCTTCAACCTGATAGTAAAGAAGAAAAAAGCATGTCAGACAAGAGATGATAAAAAGTAAAAGGCATTTTACAGGCACTTGAGTTCACTTTTAATAGCATTTTTGGAAACAATTTCTCCGTTTTATAGCTGAAATTAATGTTAGAAACACTAAACATGGAAAGAAAAAGGTTCACTTTATAACTTTTGTTTTCTGGTAGAAATGACCTCCCGTAAAAAGATGAACAATGACATGTGATGAGATTCTTTCATGTGCGATTATTTTGAAATGAAATCAAGGCCAGAAAGGCCTTTTCGACCGCATTTTGCAGCGATGTTAGGAGTTTAATAATTGTTGCATAACACCTCTGAGCTGACGTGTGTGTTACATCATGTTTGACGGTTAGGGGGATTATTTAGCAGACACAGAGATATGTGATATGTGTATCAAAGCTCCCTTTGCAGCATTTACTCACCTGTCTGCTGTCACCTGTCTCACCACAGAGCTGATCAGATGTCTTACTAACACTGTAGAGAACACTGTGCCAATCATAAATACCACCTAAACTACAGGGGGGAAACAGAGAATGACAAAGCAGCCCAGGTTTTCCTTACATAAAGGCTATTTATGGTTCACATGAAAAGCCTCAGGTTGTGATCGAGCACCGGTTGTAAACACCAGGCATATGCGTTCAACAAAACATGAAAAATTAAGACGCTGACAGCTGTGACCGGAGGTCTTAAATTAATGGCCTTCCACACTGACCGAGTCCAAACACATGAGGGCAAAGCGCAGTCCGTTGCTATGCAAAGTGATTTTGAGTGAACACAACGCTTAACCTCAAGTCATCACACAGACCCACAAGAAAGCAGAGCAACTTTCTAGCAGTGTCTACTCTGTTCTTTTGTAAACATAAACAGAACCAAACAAAACCGAGAACACACAGAGAAAACAGATTTCGTTACCCACTGGAGCTGTTTTCAACCCCCCCCCCCCCGACTGAAGTAAAACAAACTATCAGGCAGCGTTCACTGTAACGCTGCCCCACAGGGGGGCTTTCCTCTGCCCCCAGACTGCATCACCCGTCCACAAAAAAAGAGGGAGCTTATGTCAGGGCTGATTTTACAGCTTCTAAACCGAGACTGAAATGGGGATTTCCTCAGTTGCTGTCCCTTTTACGTCAATATGGTAAAGGTCAGATGCAGTTTAGTTTGTCTGGCTTTTTTCTTTTATGTAAACAGAAATAAACTCTGCTGCCTGCGTTCACACAGGCTGCACTGAGGGCAGGAAGAGACTGGAAAGGATTATGTTTATTTAATATGAACAAACTTTACTGTTGAGCTCTCTGAAGATAATTAATTTATTCATCAAAACCAATAATTTTCCAACTTTTCTATTTCAAATGTCACATTTACTGTATTGTTTGATGAGGGTTAGGGTTACGTTACTGCACTATCAGTGCTTATCATTTGTTATATGACTTAATTTATCTGTACAGAGATATCTATGAGCTGACATTAAGCTGGGACTCTCTGAAAAAGATGAACATCTCATTTCAAAAGTGCCCCTGTGGAAAAGTTAAATAATGAAGAAAATCATGAGTAATTTTGGAAATGAAACAGAGAAAAGAACCAAGATAATGATGTCAATGCAAAAATGGGGACGAGATCAAAGATACTCACTTTCTTACTCATAAGGCAGGAAAACGGCAGCAAACTCTCCCTCTTACATGGTGGGATGCTGTACTCTGTAGCCCCTCAGTTTTTGTCTGCCAATTTATCAAGGTAAATTACAATTCCTGATCAAGTAGTACACCACAAGGAGGAGCAAAAGACTTTGAATGTCCAAAACAAAATGCAAAAGGACTTTGACTTAAAACCCAAAAATAAAGTGAAGCTTTGCTGACAGGCTTCAGAATGAGTGACAAATTGACCTCACGCCCAGAAAAAGGAGCTGACATTATCTTGCTGCCACCTAGTGATGGAGAGATCACAATTCAGGACTGACACTGTGGTGACTTTTGAAAGGGTGGAGCTCCTCACAGAGCCCCTTTTAAAAAAGCCCCCTTTCTTTCTTATTGCTTTTTTTCTTCTTACTTTTTTACCTGCTCCAAGTGGGAAAATCAAAGAATTGTTGTTAACGAAAGGATCTTGGTCATCATATTCAAAGTATTCCACAATACCACACACTCTCACAAATGAAAAATATTTGAAATTAAATTAGTCTTTTTTTTATTAGTTCTGGCTTTATTTGTTTTATTTAATTTATTTATTTTACTTTAAATGGTGCGCCGACTCAATTAAATCCACGCATGCCTCCTATGTTGATTTAGTATCAGAAATAGTTGAGGGTTTCCTACACTTTCCTCCCACAGAGGAGCAGGGTAGTGCCGGGGGCCGACACTAGAGGCTGGTCCCGCCGCCCCGTGCCACTGTTGTTTTGGTTAGCAGCAGGTTAGCTTCATGCTTTCTGCTGTAGCCGGCTGAAATGGTGATGGCTCTCCCATGAGGTGGGGGAGCGGGGCTGTGTTTTCTGATTAAACTCCTAGAGAAGTGTCGCGGACATGGCCGGAGTTTTCGACATCGATTTGGATCAACCGGATGAGAACGTCTCTGACGACGAACTTGAGGATGGGGTGAGTTTACGTGAACGGCTAGGCTAATGTTGGCGCTGTTAGCCAGTTAGCTAGCGCCTAGCATCAGCGAGGCCTGCGTTGCTAACGTAAATGGTCAGGTGTTCATTGTCGGACAGGTCACTGTCCACTCAGTTCACACGGGTTCGGGTGGTTTCCATTCACTAGTCACTATCTCCACAGAGAATACACCCCCCTGTGTGAGTTGAATATTTAAAATGACTGATAAACTCAAACTTGAGTTTTATCAACCACTTCCAAAGGAAAATAAGTGGCTCTACTGTGCATCGTTCCCACAAATGGATGTCCGATAATGGAAGCATAAATAGTCCAGCGTTGCATTGGTATGTCAGTGGGTCGTACGGGGCCGTGTAACAACGTGTTAGTTACACAAAAACAGACCCAGTTTGACAGCTCCTCTGGGTTTTTAATTGTTGTACATCTAGTTTAAATGGTAGTTTAATGACTTGATTGTGTAGTCCACAAACAACAAACAGAAACGAGACATACTGCTAGCTAGAGTGAGGGGAAAAGCTCTGTTCCCTTAGCTAGCTTTAATGTTAACGATGGGTTTGGTGCTCAACTTTCTTCTTAGGTCTTTGCCGTATTTGTTCTCAAGTATGTTAAGCTGGATAAAATTACCAAAGTACAAACCCTCCGTTTAACTTGCTAGGAAATCTTGGATTGACCGCCAGTTTAACTGAAAAACTGTAGAGAACTTAAAGTAGAAGAGTTTAAAATGCAGTGGAGAGGTCTAAATGATTCACTTTTTTTGTATTAAACAAAAATAAATATCTGTCAAAAATGATCGTTAACTTGTGCTTCACATTGTTGTGTCCTGTTTTCAGACTCAGCTGGGTGAATACATGGACCAATGCAGTAGTTTTGAATTGTGAGTATACCAAGCGCTGTGAGCTACACTACCAAACCTGCTTTCTGTATACCCTGAATGTAGCATTTAAAGCTTGAATTCCAAAACTGTGGTGTTTTTAAAGACACCGTTGTCTCACCACTTTCCTTCTGTTAAGTATCACTACTTCTGCTAATGTTGGAGCTGTGGTGGAGCATCACGTGTCTCCAGAGAAGCTTAAGTGGTTATAAATATATACATACTCTGCTGCAGCCCAACAGCCATTTGGTGCCTTAAAGCCACAGGTAGTAAATATTATTTTAAGAATTTATTCTAACTAGTCGGTGACCTATCGGACCTTTTTATACCAAAGTGTAGCTGATAAAAAAGATCAGATTTATTGTTTGTTGTCTGATCTGGTTAATAGATAAATCTAACTAATCTTTAAATTAATCTTTAAACCTTAGAATCTATAGTGTAAATGTAGACTGTCCAAGTAACCTAACTTCAAAGAATTTCTGATCGCTCAGCTTCCAATAATTCCCCGGTTGCTTTTGAGAAAGCATTTGTCAACATTAGAGACATGAGTTTTGTTGCAAAGCTCAGCATTGTTTCCCTTCAGATGGATATTTGTTTGAAATTCATAGGGCTTCCAGTCTGACACATCCCCGTCTCACAAAGTCAGCTGTTAATTCCCGAAAATCAAACTGCCCTATCATCCTGAGTTCACCCACTGCCATAGTAGTCCTGGAAGTTGTAAATACAATGTTGAGTCATTGTTATGAATGTGTTTCTCTCTCTCTCTCTCTCTCTCTCTCTCTCTTTGTTTTGCCAGTAACATGGATGACTGTGAGAAGTTTGAAATCTCAGAGAACAGCGTAAATAAAGGAACGGAGCAGATCAGGCCTGAATGCTTTGAGCTGTTAAAAGTTTTGGGGAAAGGTGGCTATGGAAAGGTGAGGCCTTTCACTACCCATCATTAATCTAAACTCATTCCACAAGTGCATTCTGCAACATGTATAATAAATACTTTTTCTCCTATTAAGGTGTAATTAACTTCAGCGTTTCCTTTTGTACTCTTGATAGAGAGTACAAAACGAAACGCTTTGATTCTTCTTTGTCCGTCTGTAGACAAATATTTATTTCCCAAACAGAGGGAATTACCAATTTAGTCATTTTCTGTTCTTGGCTTGGTTTGATATTACCAGAGGGTGGGAGAGGACATTGCATTGATCTTCAAATTCCAGTGGGTGGGAAATTTCTTTAACAAAGTTACTGGAAGTTGATTTCGTTTTTTTTTTACTCTGGAAAATCCACAATTGTTTTTACATGATTGTTTATCACAAACTTTCTGAACTCCCACAGTCGTTGATCTGTTAGTAAATCCTCTGCACTTTTTGTAACTGATCTTACAATCAGTCAGTGTTGTAACTGGTTTATGCCTGTGTGAACAGTCTGACTCGGTTTGGTTTGGTATTGGTTATTCTTGATAGTTTTTTTCCCTTCTGAGCTTGATGGAAACATCACATATTTTTCTAGATATGCAGATGCTTCACTAGAATTTTGTGCCCTGTAACTTGGGGATTTTGGGGCATATTGATGACATTTAGAAAAAAATAACAATTGAAAAAGGTTGGAAGTTCTCAATAATGATTGCTGTTGCTTTGTCCATAATGCTTTTTAAAATCATATTTAAACTAGTAACTATTTGCTAAAGTGTGAGTTGTGGAAAGCCTCCTAAAATGTTTGAATTCTGTGTAATTAGGTGTGTATTTTTTACAGGTGTTTCAGGTCCGGAAGGTGTCGGGCTCCACTTCTGGGAAGATATTTGCTATGAAGGTTTTAAAGAAGGTGGGTAGATGTGCTTGGATCCTTGCCTTCTCATCACCCGTCAGAGGTGCCCCCTAGTGAGCGCTCACAGCAGTGTAATGATTTGGGAGACATTAGGTCTGAGGTTTCTCATTCAAAGCTGTGGCTTCTTGAACACTCAGTTGCAGGCTTCCTGCAAACGGTCCGTGCATGTTTTAGACTAAATCCTTTCTCTTCTGTTAACACGGGTTGAATCAGCTGTGAAACCAGCGTCGACATTGCTATGACGAAAGGAAGGAAGTAAATGGACCCATCTCTTCCATGCAGCTCTTTCTGTTCATTTTGACCTCCTGACTGCTATTTGCACCTAGCTGATGTCTCTCTATTCTTAGAAAGCCAGTCTTCTTTCCCAAAAGATTTAGGTTTTGGTTAAATAACTTATTTATTAGCCTAATGAGCTAAATGGATTCAACATCCTGTCATTCTGATTCCCATTTTGATGCTGGAGCTCATACAGAAATAGATGTGATTAAGTTTATTGGGTGCGTACTTTAACACACTCATTGTGCTGTCCTCTCCCTCGCCAGGCCATGATTGTGCGTAACGCGAAGGACACAGCGCACACCAAAGCCGAAAGGAACATTTTAGAGGAGGTGAAGCATCCTTTCATCGTGGACCTCATCTATGCCTTCCAGACAGGGGGAAAGCTGTACCTCATTCTGGAGTATCTGAGTGGTGAGGATGGTTTTCACACACAGGCCACAGTGCGTTTAAGTTCTTACAGCATCAGTATGTGTGCTTTGTGCTTCGGAGACTCTGATGCGTGTCCTGGTGTAAACTGTAATTGACAACACAAGGCAACAACTGGCAAGTCTCGTAAAGCATTATTTTATCCACAATAGAGCAAGGAGAGCATGCCAAATATTGAAAGTGAGACGTTAGTGAGGCATAATATTATTAGCTCATCTTGAGTTTAATGGCTGTAACGCATCCTGAAAACGTTGGGACAGGGCTTTGTTTACCAGTGCGTGTCATCCCCTCTTCATCTTAACAGCAGTCTATAAACATCTGGGAGTTTAGGAGACCAGCTGTTGGACATTTGGGAGAGGAATGTGGTCTTCTTTGGTTTATTTTGCATTTCATAATGCTCCAAATGTTCTCAGATGGGGAGACCACTTTAAATTAACTTCAGAGAGGAAGACGATGTTGACATTTGGAACCTTCCTTTCACGAAAAAGTTTTCACCTGCACATGTAGATGGTAAACTCACAGATGGTGACTTCTGGAAGTGTTCTTAAGGCCAGGCAGTGGCTTCCAGGACAGATCAAGGTCTGTTTTTAATGCTCTCTGCATTATTTTAACGATTTTCAGCCGTGTCCTCTGTATGCAGATACTTCTCCAGCCTCTTAATCTTTTCATTACAGTGTGGGAAATCCATTTTCCTCAGAATTTTACTATGGGAACATTCATCAAAAATTGCTCCAGGATTTACAAAAAGTTTTTCTTGTTTTCATACTGCTGAGCCAGTGTCAATATTTACCCCTGATCATGTGACAGACCTGTTTCCCATTCGTTTTCCCTCCAGCTGTTTCCAGCTTTTTATTGGCCCCATCCCATTTTAAGACATAGTGTAAAAAGGTCTGACTTTCAGCATTTCTGTATTTTTTGTGAATGAAAAATTGGCTTGGGCGATTGGCAAGTCCTCGCATTCTGTTCTTCACATTTTACGCAGCGTCCTAACTTTTTGGGGAATCGGAGTTGCAGTTTTTGCCTTTTGTGATTGCAGGTGGCGAGCTGTTCATGCAGCTGGAAAGAGAGGGGATTTTCATGGAAGACACAGCATGGTGAGTCGCTCCCAAACCCCTGAAGTGGCCGCACAGGCATGACATCTATACCTGTTAACCGAACAGAAAAAGAAGAGATGGTTTGGAAATGAATCTTGATTTAATTTTTTTTTCAGGAAATGTTGCCTTAACATGTCAGTTCGACGCTTTTAAAGTGACTAATTTTCATGCTTGTATCATTTATTTTTATCTGCTGACAGTTTTTACCTGGCTGAGATCTCGATGGCGCTGGGTCACCTCCACCAGAAAGGCATCATCTATCGGGACTTGAAGCCTGAGAACATCATGCTCAGTAACACTGGTACACGAGGCCGAAGATTGTTGTGCTAAAGTCCAACGTAGAAGCATGTGCTTTGCAAAGGATACCTCTTTTTCCCCCTCTCTGTAACCTTTGTTTGTTCAGGCTGTAGTGTAAACTAATACAGCTTACGTCCGCATTTCAGGACACGTGAAGCTGACCGACTTTGGGCTGTGCAAAGAGTCCATCCACGACGGAACGGTTACCCACACCTTCTGTGGAACCATCGAGTACATGTAAGGCTCACAGAACAGCCCCTCACACCCAGCTGTTGGGAGCGGTGTGTCAGCTGCATTACCCTGTCCTCCCCCTCCCTCCTCAGGGCTCCAGAGATCCTGATGAGGAGCGGACACAATCGAGCCGTGGACTGGTGGAGTCTGGGGGCGCTCATGTACGACATGCTGACGGGAGCGGTAAGCGCACGGCCATCAGTCACGCAGCCCTGTCTGTAAGGCCCGCGAGCACTGGAGGAATCTTTGTCTCTGACCCCTCAGCCTCCGTTCACTGGTGAGAACCGAAAAAAGACGATCGACAAGATCTTGAAGTGCAAACTCAGCCTTCCACCTTACCTCACACAAGAAGCCAGGGACCTCCTAAAAAAGGTGAGCCGCTGGAGGCCTTTCGCCTTTGAAGCACCTGGAAGCGAAAGATTATCCCCCTGACATCGGTTCTGTTTTCAGCTGCTGAAACGAAGTGCCTCAACACGACTCGGGGCTGGACCAGGGGATTCTGCTGAGGTCCAGGTACACACACAGTCTCCAGTGTTCATGCAGCATGCAAACATTCTGATTTGGGATTTATGCCAGTCTTTGAAGACAAAGCTGATGATGGTGAAACACAAAAAGCTGGTAACTGTTTTATTTTGCCCTCCAGGCTCACCCATTCTTCCGGCATATCAACTGGGACGACCTCCTCGCTCGCAAAGTAGAGCCTCCATTCAAACCATTTCTGGTGAGTTTGGCTTCTTGGTCTCAACTTGCAGACAAACTAGCAACAATGAAAATAAAAATGTTATTGAATTAATTGAATGGAATTGTTGCTTATAGAGACATCATTTAGATCAATACATTAAATTAAATCAATATTGCTGATTTTCCAATAAATCTGGACTGAAAACCAGTCCATTAAGGCTACATATGAGTCTACTGATAGTCCCTTAAAGCATTTGCAGACTGTCGCTCTGCTCTAATAAAATCTAACTTTATAGACGAGCACAGTCACCATAAGTGTCATGAAGACGACATCAGCGCAGTGTGTTTCTGTCCCCGTGCGGTAACGCAGCATCTCATTTCTGTTTGACAGCAATCGGCTGATGACGTCAGCCAGTTCGACTCTAAGTTCACCAGCCAGACCCCGGTGGACAGCCCCGATGACTCCACGCTCAGTGAGAGCGCCAATCAAGTCTTTCTGGTGGGTATCAGCTGGAGCATGACAAAGCACGCTGTGGGTCCTGTGGCCTAGCCCTCTGATGATAAAGCCACAGTAGTTTTAATGTTAGTTTAGTTTTTGTCTCCGTGTCTGTGTGTGATCCTTAAGGATGTGACTCAAATATAAGATGTTTTTGGTTGTGTAGCCATGCAGAGCTGTTGTTTAGCATCTTGGAGCTCATCTATCCAGTGCATTCAGTAATGTCTTGTTGGGTTAATTCCCAGTCTGCAAGTAAACACGAAAAACTGAGGCCAGCTCAGGAAAAATGCCTATTTCTGTTTTTTTTCTTCTTCTACTAGTTGGCCTTACGAGAATCAGTTAATGCATCCCATCTGTTTTACTCCTGCTGCTTTTCCTGGAAGCTTCTCTCACTGTTCCACCACATTGCATGATATGGTTTACTTGGTGTTTCATTGCTCATCATCAGCTGTGGGTTGTTTTTGGAAAGATGTCCTTTGAAGAGGTGGACTAAGATGTCAGTGTTTTTTCTTTTTGTCCCCCCACCTTCTCCCCAGGGTTTCACATATGTAGCCCCATCTGTGCTTGAAAACGTTAAGGAGAAGTTCTCTTTCGAGCCAAAGCTACGCTCACCGCGGAAGTTCCCTGGAAGCCCAAGAACACCTGTGAGGTAACGGCACACTGCTTGTTTTGTCTGTGGCCGTGTCCAAGCACATCGGTCATTAACGAGCCTTTCCAAAACACGTCTCCCCCTCATCGATGACTCATCTGCTGACCTCGTAAGCGTAGCCTGCTTGGCCCGCATGAACCTATTGTCAGCAGGTAAAGTGGAGCTTTCCTCCTCCGGTGGCACCACAGCTGTTTTCACTCAGTCTGGGACAAACCAACAGCAGTCACATGTGGAAACTGTGAGGTGACCAGGAGGAGGAGGCCTGTCCGGGAGATGAGACCAGTTAGGGGGGGGGGGGGTTCTACAGTTAATGTTTGAGTTAGAGGTGAAACATTCAGTGCGACACCTGAGGAATAACTGCAGCATCTGTCTGTCCTCCTGCAGCCCGCTGAAGTTTGCCGGAGGGGACTGCTGGCCCCGGGGGCCCTTACTGACCGACGGCTCATCCCGGCCGTTCCCCAGCAGCTTTGTGGACCAGCCCATGGAGGTGTCAACGGTGGAGCAAATGGACACGAGCAGCAGTGGCACCGAGGTGTCTGCCCCCCTTCCCATCAGGCACCCGGCGGGCCTGAGTGCAGGGCCCTACAAGAAGCAGGCCTACCCCATGAACTCCAAGCGGCCCGAGCACCTGCGGATGAACCTATGACCCTTGGCTTGCACATGAACTTTAGTCTTTTAATTACCCCCCCCCTCCTTTTTAATACTTTCTTTTTGGGACTTGTAGTTTTGTTATTTTCCGTTGAACTGACACTGTCAGCGCTGATCACCAGCTCTTCCAGCAGCGCCTTCCCTTCCAAACCCTCCCAAACCCTCCGAACCGGACCGGGCTCCTGATGGGCTCCTGACGTGGATGGCGGTCAGTGGAGTGGAAAGCCTGCTGGGTGGTTTTCCTCTTCTGGCTGCGGTGGATCTGGTGTGTGGATCTGGCATTATCATACGATTCACTGGTGCTCCTTAACTGTCAAAACTGCGCTGTTACTTGTCCCGGGTAGTTTTTCCTGAAGAAGCCACAAACATCCAAAAATCTTTTGGATTTGGTTCTGGATCAAAGTGAAAGACCTCCCATATGGGATTTTTTTTGCCATGAATGAGATCCCATCTGGGCGCTAGTTGTCTGCTGATCCGTATCTCCTTCCACCGATTTTTCCTTTTCTTTATCACTTGGGGATAAGAAGGGTCCAGGCCACAGCTTCAGAAGATGGGCCACGCTGGGGCACATTTTCACACTGACCACGGCCTCGCGTTGCCTTCGTCTCGGGTGGACAGGGGCATGACCACGACCAAAATACAGGCGCTGCTTCACTCGTATGACTGCTGCTCGGTTTAGGGGTTTTTTGTGTTTTTTTGTTTGTTTTGAATGTAACACTCCAAAAGCCTTTCACGTAAGTCTCCTGTGCTTATGTTAATCCTGCAGCCTCGTTGCCACTGGTATGACTTGAGACCAGCATACTTGATGACCTAGAATACTCTGAGCCAGACTGGTGTCACTGCCTTTTACTGATTCATGCTGCGTTCATGTCTTTGGTTCTTTGGGAATCCTTTTTGGGCAGCAACACGGCCCTGATTGTTGGTTTTTGGATAATCCAAAATTTATGTTAGTGGACCATCGACCAAACCCATCTGAGTTGGGATGTTTGACCTGTTACTGATGTGGCTCTCTGATGCAAAAGTCCCCCAACCCTAAAATAAATAGCTGTCCCACGGTTGAATGTGGATTCCCATAATGTTACTGGAAAACGAATGTTAGGGAATTGTCTTGGAATCCAAATAGTTGAGTGTGCTGAACAGGCCAAAGTCGCCGTGTCAATTAGCAAAATGCTTTGTTCTTAGACTCTGAGAATCTTTGAAAAAACCAACTGAGATGAATCACTGATTCATCAAAGAATTCTAAATATTGTTCATGTCTATTTTTTAAAATCAGGCTTGTTTTTTACTCCGTTTGTGCACGTTAACTTTGCAGACGTTCCTCTTTTCTCTCTTTCCGTGCGGTTGAGGCTCGTGAAAGCAGAGCGAGGTGAAAATAATGGATCAGGGTCGGGCTGAGCTGGCTCTGTTCTTCTGCCATTCCAGAACGGCTGCATTCAAAAGCAGTCGCTTCACCTTTTTTTTTTTTCAGGTTATTTATTTCAAGTGCCATTGAGCTTCCGCTGCGTTCTGCACACTATGCAAACCATGTATTTATTACTTAGTATATTAAGGTAAGGCAGCGGAATGTGTGACTTGAGTTCTTTTATTGGTCATTAAGTTTGAGTTTTGTTTTTTATGTCCACACAACACACCACCTCAAATGCAGCGTTTTTAATTTAATATTGGCTTTAGCGTTTTACAGTATTTATTTTGTGCCATTTCACATTCGATCGAGATATTCTAAAAGAGCTTTTGATATTTAAGACTGTTACTTCAGACCTTTTTCTTTTTTGTTTTTTTTGCAGTGCTTGAAGCGAACATGGCATATTGTATAGACAGAAAACGAACAGGGAGGGGCATCGTGCCTTTGGATACAGTGTACATTGTGTATGTACAGTTTGCTGTCAGTTAGAAAAGTATTTGTGGAATAGGCTGAGATTTATTCCAGAGTTTAACTTTCAGACACTCGTATCTTTGCTTCACCACCTCACCGGCTCTCGGTTAAGTCTGTGAGGAAACATTTAGCTTCTGCTCAGATACGCTTGAGAAGGTCCTTCCACTATGAGACGTTTGGTGACAACCATCTTATTGAGTTTTTGTCACCTGGGAAAATCATCTTTCAGCAGATGGGATGTTTTTCTTCACTGCTGAGCGTTGGATTTTTTATTTTATTTCAGCATTTCTCATGAAAAGAGGCTGATCTGAGAATGACATGTATCATGTACATAATGGAATCTAAATAAATACATTAAATTACCTGATGGGTGTTTCTCATTTTCAGCTTTTAGCTCCCAGTCTGAGACGACATTGGACAAATCCCAGCCCTGCAGTCTACAATGGTAAATCTTTATTTGGATAGTTTATGGTTAAAAATACCGGTAAAACAATGGTTTCCATACAGAAAATAGATACTGATCTTTGGCTTTTACAAATAAATGTGAAGTCACCCGTTTAGAAAAATAATTTGTGGAAATTAGTCTCACGAGTTGCATTCTTTTCATCAATCGTGAAAAATGTACTTAAAAAAAAAAAAAACTGGAAGCAAAATGCAAACCTACCCCATCGCATGGGGCTGGTTTGGGGACCTCACTGTGTCTTGGACCTCCAAAGAACCGTTGCAGTTATTCTTAGTAAAGCTGAGCATCCGCTTTGAATCCAAAGTTGGCATTCAGCAGCACATCTACGCGTTTATAACGACAATCAAACACTGGATGAATCAGAGTCCTTGTGATGTGTTTGTTCAAGTCTGTGACGGAGAACAGGTGTGTTTAAAATACTTTTTAAAAATATATATAATATATAATTCTCTTATGCGTCCACACTGAGAAGAATTAGAAACTATTCATTTCCGTTTTCTGCCCCTTCAGGAAAACATGTATTGCCATGAAAGGTAAACAAAAACAATACTAAAAGGAGAGGGAAAAAAGGGAAAATGCAAAATAATATACTTGGAGAAGTGCAGTACCATTGAAGTAAAAAAAAAAAAAAAAAAAAGCTCACTGTGCAATACTCAGACCACAGAGAGTTCAGCCCTTTGCTGACGACTGAAACAGTGTGTCGTGACTTTACCCGTCAGTGGGGTTTTGGAAAAAAAAGAAAAGAAAGAGTAATCTTACATACAAATGAATCCCACCACCCCACACCCACTATTTGTGCACTTAGTCAATAAATCTGCAGGTGGGGCGAGGTGGCTCCGTCCCTCCACTGGTAGACCTTCTCTGTGATGACGGTGCGACAGAGGGGGCAGCTCTTCTCCCGGTTAAACCACAGAGCGATGCACTCGTCACAGAAGATGTGCTGCAGAGCGGAGAGGGAACAGCACGTCAGCACCGCCTTCACTTATTTCACTTTTGCTTGGATCATGAAAATGAAAGGTCAGACGGGGTCATTATTACAGGAACAACCGAGTAGGACCAAAGGTTTTTTAAATTTGTATCTTTGAAAAAAAATGTCTGGTCTGTGATGGTCTCCAGTGGGGCGGGCCCTCTGCCAGCTGTGTGCACAGTGGTGGTTTTACCTGGCAGAGTAAAGCCCGAGGCTCCTTGTATTCTCCCTGGCAGATAGGACACACGTCTCCAGCCTCCCTGCACTGACTGCCTGTTGCAGCTGTGCCTGTATGCTGGAAAAAAACAACAAAAAAAAAACTTCAGCAACAGTCCTTTACAGCTGCTACAGAGTGAGCTACATCTGGGTGAACCACTGACCTCGCCAGCAAAAACCACCCTCACAGTTTTCAGTAAAGACGTCCACTGGCTGTACAATCCTAAAAGCTAAAAGGAGACAACACTTCTTGTTTGAAACGGTCGGGACAGAAGGAGGTGTTAAACCTTTTCGTGGTGAAAAACTGTGGCACCTTTAGGATGAGGTAGAGTAAAGCCAGCAGGACCCCCATCGTCAATGCCGGGGCGCCGTCAGCCTCCTGGAAGGTGACCAGGTAGCGGAACCACAACGGAACCGGCGCCGTGGCCTGGTGCACTTGACCCAGCTCCTCCGTTAATGACAGCCACCGCCCCTAAAGGTGGACACTATTAAGAAACAACCAGAGGGCAGCAGCACAGCTGCCATTCTGCATCAGGAATCAGGACAGAATCTGCAAGTCCTACCAGGGTTCTGTAGGTCACCAGTGAGGAGGGCAGCAGCAGGATAAGGCACTTAATACCCATGAAGAAGAACTTTATTATAAAGTTGGTGATGCCAATAGCCCAAAGGTTTTCCCAGAACCCCAAAGGCTCGATGGTTGGAGTGAGGAAGATGAGGCTGGAGGGAAGGGAAGTATTCAGGTTTACCTGGATAGTCATCTTTCTCATGTTTCACTGCATTCCTGCTTCAGTTTCAGTACTTTCACACCCTTAAAGTCAAGCTATATTAAAGTAATTTAACAAAAAACTTCTGTTTCAAAACCATGTAAGAATTCACAAAGCTTTGCTGAAAAAGAAAAAAAAAACCTGTGCGAATTTTATCCAGCAAATGAAGTCACAGATTCTTTCACTGAGGGAGCTAAACCTTAGTTAGAGGGCCACGTCTGCCTGAGACTGCCTTTCGGGGTGCCAAGTAAAAAGTCCTTACCAGTGGTAAAGTGTCTCAGTGGAAAAGGTGTAGTAAAGGAGGAGGGTGGAGGAGATCAGGAAGAGAAGCAGCCCCAGGCAGTACAGCTTCCTGTGGCGATCCTGAGCGTGCACATGGGAAGAAAACCAGTTTAAAAGCAAGCTTTAAGTTATGAAAGAAAAAAAAAAAGCTGTATGCAAGTTTAAGTTCCTAACTTACCCGAAGGAAGACTTGAGTTTGAATGTTTTTATTCACATATAAAAAAGTTGTGAAGAGGCCAACCCCAACAGCTAAACCTGGAAATGAAGGGTAAAATTATGGTAAAGCCGATGACCGGTCAGGAATCATAGTGTCAGTCTGATCCCCACCAAGAGCATGCTGGAGCACCAGTTTAGCACACAGAATGACCAGGAAGGGAAGGCTCTTCTGGAGCCAGCGGAACAGACAGCGGAGCTCCGACAGGGAGGCGCTGGGCTCTCCGGAGTCCAGGTCCGAGTCCGGTGGGTCGGTGTCAGGCTCAGAACTGGAGTGATGCTGCGGCCTGCTGTGTCCGTGTGCGTGTGAATGCGAGTGGCTGTGGGAGTTGATCCTGGACCTCCTGGACGATGCGCCTCCACTGGACTCCCCGGGGCCCCCGGTCATGGACACCCGGACCTCAGCGCTCTCTGGATCAGAGGCCACGGCAGCAACATGGGCTCCCGGTGCCCTTGTGAGAGGTTGTGGTTGCAGAGGTAGGGATAAACCATTTCCTGCATGAACACCCCGCTCACTTGAGTCTGGCTGCATTGCAGCTGGATAATCCCTCAGTTTCACTGCTCTTCCGGAACCAGTCCTGTAAAAATAAAAAAAGTAGCCAGATTTATAGGACTTATAGGAGTATACAACTATAAACTGACTGGTTAAGTACAAAAAACATATTTCCAGCTCGTTCATTATTCCTCATTTAAGAGTTATTTACATGTTCTGCATCTTACAAATTGACTTTAAATGTATGAGATTATGACAAATAGTTACACTAGGTTATCTCAAGTTTTATATTCCATTTTAACGTAAAATGACTGACCAGTTATAAAATAAACTGAAACGGAATTATCTTAAACCATTTAGATAATCTATTTGTACCAACTAACACTAACTACTTGTTCAAAAAGGTTTTTAGAGGCAATAAACCTACAAGTAGCTGCTCGGTGACAGCTGATCGTTTCCTTAAAGGAGCTAACCGTTAGCTTTAGCGGCTAACAGGTGATTTCTATCATTTCTACCACTGGCAGCTGATAAAGAGCCAACTCACCTTTCATTCTGCACCCGAAGTTTCATGGCAATCTCTCGGTCGCCATTTAGCCCAAACCCGAGTCGCAAAAACGTAACAAAAGCAAAAGTAAACCAAAAAACAACACTTAGCTGTGTGCTCTCTTCAGCTAAAGCGACCAACACATTTTGACGTTGAAGCTAGCTTCGTCGGTTAATCTTTTACATCCACAAGGGTGTAATCCAGCATTACCTCCCCCTACAGGAGGGATTCGTTACTGCTCCGATATAAATTCATTAATTGCACCATTATCAGTGTACAAGTGCAACAAAAACCCCAAACCTTCTGCTTTATTTAACTTTTTCATTTAATAAAAATACATATGACAAAAAAACAGGTAATATTCGAAAATTCTGTCTTTGTTTAACATAACTAAACATGTCTATTTGTTTTTAATTTCATAGCTCACGTATAAATATTTAAGATGGGATTATTCTATTTGAAAATATTTGCGTTTAGAAAACAAAGAGTAGTAAAGGTCTAAATATGTGCGCTAGGCCTGCTTTAATAGCTGACGGAAAAGCTTAGCACCTGACTGGCAGGAAGTGTGATCCCAACAAGAGAGCTGTTTGCGGAAACAATGGAACAATAACAATATAAATCTACCCTGTGAGGGTAAAACAACTCAGATATTACTTGTTCTTTGTCACATGTGTCTATGCTTCGAAATTTCAAACAAATGAGAGGGCTGTAAAGAAAAAAACTTTTAAAAATGCAGCTCAACTAAGGAAGATGTTAAAGTGTCTGTACAGAAACTCTGAGCGATATGCCTGAAAATAGAACGCACGCAACCAAAGATTAAATAAAATACACAAATGTGGCTCAATGTTTGTAATGTAACTGTAAGAAGCAACAACCCAAAAAAGTCCAGTATAAACCATCACTAATGCCTAATAAGAAGAAAAATAAGGTCAAGGTGGGTCATGGATTTGGATTAATGGATGAAATATTCAGGGTGGAACCCCGAATATTACCATTCAGCATTAGTAAAGGAGGAGATGCTGGAACTTGGATTTGGTTCAATTAAACATAGAAAAAGGACTGCGTGAAGAGAACAAATATCTGCTTACGCTTGACGATGAAGGGTTTATATCAGGTAAAGAACAAGTAAATACCTCGCAAGTAAATGCTCAGGTGGACACTTTCCTCATCCTAACCAACTGGAAGGAGCTATGGAGATGTCTGCTCATTTTCAGGATGATAATGTATATTTCCTTTCTTTTGAACATGTCTTCACATATCTGCCGATCTTTGAGGTTTTATATTTGGAGACTGACTTCAGAGGAAGGTTGTTTCTGATTATTTTTGTGATAAAAGAATCAAACCATTTTCTTTTTTCAGATTGTACAGCGCTGGCACAAAAACTTTTTTTTTATTCAAAAAGCGGTGCAGAAAAAAGTCCTTAAATTGTGGCGATTCAGTCATTTTCACAAAGTTGCTGTCTTGTTCATTGCAGTTTTGGTTCCACAAATGAAGTAAACAAGTTTAGTCCAAAAATCCAATAACATATAACCCAACTGAATCCAATTAGTATTCCTGCTACCCTCATTATCTCAGATTACTGGAGGCCATCCTAATTTCTGTTATATTTAGTAGATGAGCTGGTTCTGTGAGCCTTAGCTGGAAAAGAAAATAAGTCATTTGTTTCTCGCCTCATGAGCGAGTGAGCGATTTGCTTTAGAATGTGGGTGAAATGTGGGTGCTCAGCTGCTGTTCTCTTCCTGAATTTTTCATTTTTCATTGATTTTGAACAAAGATCTGGAGCCAGAAAGTGGCTATAGGGAAGTTCCTACCATCCAGCCTGCGGGGGTGTGACTACTGAGTAGAGTGCTGCCAAACAGGTGTACATGATGATTTAATGGGCGATAGAATCTGAATATTGGGGCTCATAGTGCTCTGCGGTCCCTCGGTTTCTGCAGATAGTTTAATTCAGGGTTTATCGATGTGTATAGTTTAAGCTGTTAAACCAGCTGGGGGCGAGGCGTACCAGAGCAGTATTGGGGATGGTCGTTTCCCTGGCGAGTTATATGCCAAAGCTCATTTTCTATAATTCCCATTAGCCACATTTTAGCCTGCTTTTGCAAGAGGTTGTGCAAAATAAAGTACTCGTGTTTAACTGCTGTCGTGTTTGAGTTACATGCATCCGGCATGCCCAGCTTGACACCAGCTGTTTAACACCTGTTATGCAGCCTGGTGCTGTCCACATGCAGTAACTCAGACGCAGCACCCATGCATACCCACAGATACCAGGGCTAAGAGGCCAAAGGAGAAGGTGAAAGAGAAACTTTTAAGGAAAAGTATGTTTTTTTTAAGATATACTGCCTTGTATATAACTCCACTTCCATAGAAGCATAGGGGCTGTGAAAAACACAAATAATGCACAGTGCAATGATTTGCAGATCTCATAAACTAACAATGTTTTGAAAAAAGAGAATAATCCATTTTTTGAGAACAAAAACAAGCTTCGATTTTCCACCTCAAAGGTACAGCGGAGGCATTATTATTAGAGCTTGAAACTCAGTGGAGAAAAGGGGGGTATTTCTTTGAAGTACTCACTAAATAAGTTACTTGGAAACCACTTGAATCCAAAACAAAGCACAAAAAAAAATTAAATCCAAGAGTTTTCGTATTGATCATTACTTCAGACTGTAAAATATGATTTTTTTTTTTTTAAAGAACATGTTCTCTTCAAGAATATATGGTGACTTCTGTTCAGCTAAAATTTGTCACTTGAGCATTGTGCTATATATATATACAAAGTCATCTGTAATTGGGAAGACCATAGTCTTAGTTGTTGGATCAGCTTTAAACAATTATTCTATGACTTAATTATATGTATTCCTTGTTTTAATGTAAAATCCGAATGATAACTTTGTCCGTATGGCCCGCCTCAGCCAGAAGAATGACTTTTCTGTAATGTGGGCCTCGGTGTGGAGTCCAAAAAGTATGAGCATGAAGTGAGGCTGTGTGGTTAAAGGAGGTTAATGTAGTGTGTCTGTGAGAGCTGTTCCCGGCTCTGTTCGGCTCTCGGTAATTGTGTTATTGCTCTATAGAATTGTCAGTGGAGCTGTGCTGCCCAAGTCAAGACGTCTGAGGCAAGTCTGTGGAGAGAGGTCAAGTTGACACATAAATTGCCATCTGCCAAGCTGAACGGGGCCCGGCAGAGAGCGGATGAGGTGAGCAGTGACCTGACATCGCGTCTGACAGACTCCCCGTATCCCAGTCATCTTTCTCCCCTCCTTCCTCTGTGCACGCTGCCAGCTGCTTCCTCTGATGTCTTATTGGAGCTGCCAGGCAGTTTGTGGTACCACTGCGTGCACCCGTGAGTGCAGACATAAGACAGTGTTTCATTGCTTTGAACCGCTCGTTCCCTTTGATTATACAAATAGTTTAGAGTTAGCGTTGACTTTCTCTTTGGAGTCATTCCCTCAGCAGGGAATTTTTCTAATTTTCCTAAAATGATGTGTTCCCCATTAGGGAACTCAGCTACTACTGGGTGGGTGTTGCATATTTCATAATGAGCCAGATGCTGTCATGACGTGTATGACTATATGTTTGAAAGTGTGATGGATTCATTTGAATCATTTGGGGATAAAATCCCACTAAAGTGCCTCACTTTTTTTGTCAAGAGGACACCCAAAGCCCCACGATACCCCCAATATGCTCCTCAGTGTCTGTGGAGGGAAAGAGCAGCTTTCTGTATTGGCGGTAGTTTTGGGGGATTCTGGCTCCATGAATGACTGAAGTTACATGCTAAGTAAAATTCAAACTACTGTACTCATGTCGTTTTAATGAGCTCCAGATGAGATATTCCTTTCATACTCCTATTTGCATATTACAGAGCATAGGGCCATTAATAATTGACAACCTGAGACTTTTCTAAAGCTTTTATTATGTTCATGTCCCTGAAAACACAGAGCATTATTTAACCAAATCATTCACCCTGAAAATATCTCCTCTTATAAATCTATTTTATCTAAAAAGTTTTACTCAATACTGAATTAATATTTAGTTTTTTCACCTATTTTGTTACCGTGGTTTGATGGGAACTTTGTAATGAGTAAATTAATTCATTATAAGACAGAGACAAGAGTGTGGCAGTGAACTGATGGTGGCTGCTTGTTATTTATGGGAGGTCCTGCTGTTGTGCATGCTGGCTGGTTGTCATGGTTTACTGGGACGCTCGAGGGAACAGAGCCATCATTAGTGTTATTAATTCCACCTGTGCCTTTCCTGTGGCGACCAGTCAAAATGTCTGCTGTGAAAAGGCCTATTAAGGCTGTCCTATTTAATGACATATAGCTTGTTTCGCCTTATTAGTCTTGTCTCATGCTACTCAGCGATAGCAAGCAGGAGTCCAAACACATTGGACTTTGCACTGATATAATATAAGTTTCACATGCTCATGTACTTATTTCTATCAGTGCCCAGCCATTCTTTCATCGCTCCGATGTTAAGTTATCATTCAGGTTTTGTGGCTTCTTATTTCTTATAACAAGATAGATTTTTTTAAAACAAAGTAGACTTTAATAACACAGTCAATTTTTTTATCTGATCAGCAAAAAGGTGGACTTAATTTTCTCCAACATCCTTCAAACTCATCTTTCCTTGTATCTTTTTCAGGGTTCTGATTGGATCCTGAGTTTGAATGACCTAATAAACCTTTGGATGATGTATTTCTTTCTTTATTATTGTCCCCTTACTGGTGTAATGAATATGGCACATCATGTTCTACTACCTAATAACCTGTACTGCACAATCTGCACATTCACAAATGTGAAAAAGTTTGATCATTTTGTACTCCCTTTTATCTTTACTGCTGCTGTAACATTCCCCTGAATGCCCCATTTGGAGGAATAAAGGACTGTCTTATCTCATCTTGCAATCCATTGTGCCAAAACATCAGTGTTACTGTTGTGTTGAGTTTAATCTAATTAAAGTATTCAATGCAGACATAATAAGGAGTGTTACTGTGTGCAGCCCCTCGTCTCTTAATCTCAGGTGATATTGTGCACAGTTTTGTCACGTGTGCAGTATAATCATTCAGAGACGGCATTAGACGGCCTCCTGCTCCTTTGTTGTGTTGTTTTGCATCCAGCAGGTGGAGCTGCTGGATCGGTGGTGGAGGAAAGGCCACCCGAGCT